GCCATATTTGGGAAATCATGTCACTGATGGCAACATTTCTCACAGTCATAGTAATTCAACGTTTGGGTGGCTACATCTGATTGCTTCGTAAATATTTGTTGGAACTTAATTGAAATTAGGGGGTGAAGCTCTGAACCAGACGAGTGAAAAATGCTTCTCTATTTCCTGGCCAAATATATTTGCTTTTCTTTTTATATTGCACTTCATCTTATACTTCATTCAAAGACAGCACATCTGTCTCTGTCACTAAATGAGAACTTCATGGGACATGAACTGTATTTTACTTATCCTTAAGTCTCCAGTACTCACTGAGTGCTTGGTAGTTACTTAACATTTATTTAGTTGAATTAATAGCAACACCAATAGCATTTATTCAATAAATATTTATTGAATCAGAGTTCGCTAGACAAAGAGGGCAAAAAGACATTGTCTTGGCTGTGAATGAACACATGATCCATTGCAAACACAGCCCTAGAAATAATTATAATACAATATGACCATTTCTAGAATGGAAATAGCTATAAAATACAGCTTTATAATTAAAAAAAAACCCTTAAATCGTGTAAGATGATCCTGAATTAATGTCACAGAAGAGAAATAGTATCTGGTATCAATCATAGTGCCAAGAAAGACTCAATAAATATTTAGAAATTCACTGAAGGTGAGTAGCTCTAAAAAGTCAAGTATAAAGAGGGCATTCCCTACAGGAAATCCTGATTGAAAAGCTCAGAGGTATGAGGAGTGCAGGAACAATGGCTGGAGCATAATGTTGGAGGTTGAGTTATACATAAAGCTGCCCCTAAAGATGGTCATCAACCATCATGAAGAGCCTTCTTCCATATAAAGAAGTTAGATTTTATTTTATAGATGCTAAAAAAAAAAACCCATTAAACCTATTATTGATAAAACTACTGTTTTTCAAGTTATATACACTGTGTGCCAGGTATCTATAATTCTAATACGAAGTTGCTATTTTCCCATTTTATAGTTGAGAGATTAACTTGCCCAGGTTTTCACAGGTACCAAGGGGAAGAACTAGAATTCAAAATTAGGTCAATTGAGTTCACACATCCTGTCTTCTTTTAAACTATTTTACGGCACATCTAGCAGGGAAGAAGCTAGATTTTTTAACACTTTCAACCAGCTTGGCTTCTTTTTAACTTCACTTTGTTTTCAACTGTCGCAAATTCAAAATTTTTATGTAGGATGTGAGGGCAATCCGGCTGCGACATCTGTCACCCCATTGATCTGCAGGGTTGATTTGGCTGATCTGGCTGGCTAGGCGGGTGTCCCCTTCCTCCCTCACCATTCCATGTGCGTCCCTCCCGAAGCTGCATGCTGGGTGGAAGAGGAGGACCATTCTTCGGTCAAGGGTATATATAGGAGTAGCTGTGCTCCCCCACTAGAACCTCCAAACAAGCTTTCAAAATTTTTATGTAAATTTAAGTTAACAATTTGGAGCTCATGAGAAGCTTTAATCTTCTGTAGGTCCAAATTGGTGTCATAGCAACTCACCTCTTGCAGGCCACTTCATATTTTTTTTTTTTGAGACAGAGCCTCAAGCTGTCCCCCTGAGTAGAGTGCCGTGGCATCACAGCTCACAGCAGCCTCCAAGTCCTGGGCTCAAGTGAGTCTCCTGCCTCTGCCTCCCAAGTAGCTGGGACCACAGACACCCGCCACAACGCCAAGCTATTTTTTTTGGTTGCAGCCATCATTCTTGTTTAGCGGGCCCAGGCTGGATTCGAACCTGCCACCTTAGGTGTATGTGGCTGGCGCCTTAGCCACTTGAGCCACAGGAGCCAAGCCCACTCCATATTCTAATGCCATCTTTTATATAGTTTTTCAAATAACTCTCTTTTGGCTTATTGAAATGCCTTTTTATTTTTCAGTCACCATTGCATATCATGGGCCAATCAGGCATGATTTGTGTAGTCTGAAGGAGAAAAATTTGAAGTACTACTTCCTTTTAAGCCATTTTGATCTGAGTCTTCAACATGCAAAAAGAATACCCCAAGTAGTAATTATTTAAATTTGATGAGAAAATCTAATATTAATCCCAATATTCCATTTAATTAATATAAATATAATTTACTATTTAAATTATTTCTACCTCATTCGTAATATGCTTGGTTAGCTTGAAGTAGTTCAGACAGTATCATTAACTCTGCAGTGTTTGGCTATTCTGGGATGAGATTCTTCCTTACTTTAATGGCTATTAAGGTAGGAGTTCTGGAGATGGATCATGGTAATGATTGTGCAACAGTGAAAATATACTTAATGCCACTGAACTGTATACTTAAAATGTTAAAATTTTATGTATATATATTTTATCACAATTTTAAAAAAGATGTGAAACTGAAGTTCCAAGTGGCCTGAGATCTCTTATCAAGGAGTTAGCAATCAAATTTTCTTGAGCCTTTTCTTGTAGATAACTTGGGTAAGGTGTGGAGGACCACCTATCTTATCATCATAGGTTGATCAACTTAAATGTTCTTAATACCAAACTGTTTGAAAAGAAAAAGAATCCCATTTATCTGAATGCAGAGATAAAGAAGGAAGCATGATAATGGCCCAGTATTATGGTGCTGCCAGCCTCAGGATGGATGTGATAATGAAGACAACTTTCAGATTTGACTGCTATTGGTCCCTGGCTTTAGTTTCTTATTCAGAAGTACAAGTAAGGGGAATAAGTAGACTGTTACTTTAACAAGTAGGATATATATGGTACAGCTCAGACTTCTAGCTTCCTTACCTCCACTAGTATCAGGAGAAATTAAATTATCATTCATTAGCTTCACAAAAATTAAAAGAATGTGGTGGTGTAGATTTGGAAACATTCACATTGTTGGTGAGTGTAAATTGTATAACTTTCTAGAAAGTAATCTGTTCATAACTGATAGAAATTCTTAAATATACATTTTTTTTGCCTAATAATCCCACTGGGTAGCCACTGTTGTGTAAAGATAATGGTACAAGAGTTTTTTTACTCTGTTGTTTGTAGTAGCAAAAAAGTAGAAGCAACTCAGGAAATGGTTAAACAAATTATCTTTTTTTTTTTTTTGAGACAGAGTCTCCTTTTATCACCCTCTGTAGAGTGCTGTGGTGTCACAGCTCACAGCAACCTACAGCTCTTGGGCTTAGGTGATTCTCTTGCCTCAGCCTCCCAAGTAGCTGAGACCACAGGCACCCATCACAACGCTTTGCTATTTTTTTGTTCCAATTTGGCCGGGGCTGGGCTTGAACCCACCACCCACCACCCTTGGTATATGGGGCGGTGCCTACTCACTGAACCACTGGTGCCACCCACAAATTATCCATTCTAAAAACCAATGTACAGCTCTTTAAAAAAGTGAGTTAAATCTATATGTATTGGCTTAGAATGATAGCTATATTGTGTGTACAAAATTTGTAGAGTTAGTGTAGTATGGAGTATGACCTAAAAAATAACCATATATATGTTTGAAAATAGAATGTAGAAGGATTCACATTAAACTGTTAAAATTGATTCTCTCAGGGAGGTAAGATTGAATTAGCTTACCTTATATAACCATGTTGTTTCATTTATTATAGTTTCTGTAATTTTTTAAAGTTTCTTAAGTTAAAAAAAGGAAAGAAAAGGAAGAAACAGTGATTAAAAACTATACTAGGGACAACTTTGGGGGAGAGTTGATGACTGGGAATGGGCAAAAATGAAACTTTGCTACCTGTAATGATCTCTATCCCTGAGCTGGTTGTATTCACTTTGTAAAAATTCATCTAATTTATGCCTATAATTTGTATATTTTTGTCTTTCGTATCAAAAGCTTATAAAAATTGGGTATAGCAATAAATTGAATGCTATTATATTTAATATATTAAGTCAGACAACAAATAGTATAATCCCACCATTATAATAATGTGCCTATAAACATACAGAATAAAGGCTGGAATAAAAACACTACTTTACGGGTGGCACCTGTGTCTCAAAGGAGTAGGGCGCCAGCCCCATATACCGGAGGTGGTGGGTTCAAACCTAGCCCCAGCCAAAAACTGCAAAAAAAAAAAAAAAAAAAAACCTAAACACTACAGTGATTATGTCCAGATGATGGTGGTTTTTGTTTGGGGAGGGTTCTTTTTGTCTGTGTAAGAAGGGTTTATGGATTGGGTCATTTAGGAAGTCAGTAAAACTTAGTGAGTAAAATCAGAAATGTTAAAATATTAATCAGAAATTCAGAGTGAAGAAGAGAGGAAAAGAGATTTTTAAAAGAAAGAAATGAAACTAGAGAGGTGTAGTAAGGTCAGGTACTTTTTTTCAACCTCTACTAGGAAGAGACTACCTTAAGCCGTCAAACCATTGTGTGTGACATTAAAAATCCTCCTCTTTATCAAACTCAGTTTGGTTTTTTTTACAGATAAGCCATGCTTGATACTTAAGTTTTGTTGTTTTTAAGTAGTTTTAATGAAACTGTCATTGCTATAATAGTTTCAGTTGACTGTAGCAGATGCAACTCGTAGTAGCTTAGGAAACCTGTATTCTACCAGTCTTCACTGATTAACTCTGGTAGTTTACGCAATTTTGTTTTTTTAATCTTAGTTGTCACATGGGGGCAAATGTTAATAACACCTCATTAGGTTGTGAGAATCAAACAAGAAAATTAAGTATGTAAAAATATTCCCATAGAATTAAACACTACCCAATTGTAAAATTACATCCTTTTTTTTTTTGTATTTTACTCGGCATAAAATATAATACCATTCAGTTGTATTGCTATACTATGATTGTTCTTGTTTTTTTTTTACTCCGTAGTTGTGGAATGTAGTAATTTCGTGATGGAATTTATTTCAGTTAATAGTTCAAAAGTTGAAGTTTATGAAAGAATGCAATTTTTTTCAGTCACGTTCTGCAAATGTTGCGTTTAATGGTTCTCAAGGTGTGGGTTGTGACTGCAATGTGTCATTACTTTTGACTAAATATTGTTTACTGCTTAAATATCAAATTGTAAACATTCTTTGTTGCTCTTCACTATTTGTTGAACTGTCAGAGGAATTATCAGTCTCTTTTCCCTATTTCAGTCGTTTTTTGTTAATGCATCATGTTTACCTAAAATAACTAATACGTCTAAATCAGATCTATTCAGGTGTTTCACAGAGGTTTTGATAAGGCTTGGCTTTTGACGAGTCCTTACGTTAGTTAGATTCTGGTCGGAGTAAGCGTAGGGTTAGGTTGGAGAAACTGCGTGGCACTAGGACCCAGGGGGCTCCCGCGAGCGGATCTTGGGGCCGGATTGCAAATTCGCGGTGACTCAGTCTGGTCGGCTCCTTGCGCTCGGCGGCCGCGGCGGCAGCAGCAGACGTTGGTGGCCGGGCTGCTGCGAGCAGTTCCGCCGGCTCTCACCGTCCGAGACTTCCTTCGGGCCACTCCAGGCAGGTCCGAGGCGTCTGGGGAGCGCTGGGGTCGTTGTGGCGGGGAGAAGGGGTTTGCTCGGCGCGAGAAGCCCTCGGGCCTGTGCACAGGAGAGTAACATTTGCTCCGTCTCTTCCTGTGTCTGGCTTTATTTGCAGCAAACCAAGATGGAGTATGAGTGGAAACCTGACGAGCAAGGACTTCAGCAAATCCTGCAGCTGTTGAAGGAGTCCCAGTCCCCAGACACCACCATCCAGAGAACTGTGCAACAAGTATCCTTTCCGAGGCCAGGCCGCCGCCCGCGCAGCTGGCCCCGCGCTGCGAGCCCGCTCCCGGCGGCCGGGGGGCTCCCGCCGCCCCTCCCCCTCCCTCCGATCCCTCCCTCCTCTCTGCCCGCCCGCCCGCGGGAGAGGCCCGCCGCCTCCCGGCCCCTGCCTCGCGCCCCGCGCACGCGGCCCTCCTGCCCCGACTCGGGGCAACGCCGCGTGCGGTTCACGCCGCCGGCTTCCGGCCCGCGGGAGGCGGGGGCTCCCGGGCCGCCGCCCGAGATCGCGACATGTGCGCGGGCCTGGCCGCCACGTCCCCGCCCGCCGCGGACCTGCGGAGCGGGTGGAGAGCGGCGCAGGCGGGAGCGGCCGGGGCCCACACAATGCACCCCGCGAGGTGGGGGCGACGGGCGGAGCGGGAGGCCGGGTGGAGGGCTCAGTGTGAGCGGCTAGGCTCGCCGGCGGACTGGCCAGAAATGGGTGGAGCTGGCGCGGGGTTTGAACTACCCTTGTGTTGGACCGGAGGTTTTTCCAGGCCTTGCACTAGAAGTGCCGGAGGACCTACAGGTGGGGGCAAGGGGTCTCTGTTAGTGCCTCACCCCTGAGCTGTTCGTGTTAACACCTGTTGCAGAGTGCCCTGGCTCCCAAGTGAGATTCTGTTTTTAAAGCTTTGGCACAAGGCTCGTTGCACTGCTGGTGTAGTTGTCTTTTTTGCTTCGGTTTTAGAGACAGAAAGGGTTAAGAAGGAAAACCTCTTCTGTGTATGCTTTTCGTGGTCCCCTAAACCATAGAAAAATGGAGAGCTTTTAGTAGATCCAGTAAAGGAAATAAGTTAACCAGATCATGAATAATCTTTTTACCTCTGTTCTTTTAAGCCATTGTAATGCAGTTTAGAAAATATTTTTTGCATAGGAGTCTTTTGATTTTTATTGTCAATAAGCAGCAAAATTACGTTATATAGAATTTGGTACGTAAGCTCTTTTCGTGTTTGAGCTTATTTAAATTTAAAATGCTATAAAAATGATGTTACTGACCCGAAGGGTTTTGAAGAAGTATTGCATTCACTGTAACCTAAAATCCACAATAGATCACAAAATAAGTACTCAGTTTGTTAATCTACTGCCTGTTTAAAAATTAAGGAGATAATGGTGATATGCTTGGATTTTTTTTTTTTTTCAGTCATTTAACTGAATACTGCTGAGTACTGAGGAAAGAACAGCAGTTGTGTTTTAGTCTTAATTGTGTAGTCACAGTTCCAGGAATGATAGAAATTGATATTTAATTAAATCATAGGTATTATATAACATAATTGCTTATTTCTTAAATAAGCAGACATGCATTGTAATTCTTGTGTAGCACTGTATCTACTTGTTTTAGTGTATATTTGTTAAGTACCTTTTATATGCTGGGTATTATGCTTGGGCTAGTATTCGATTTACAGTTTATTCTGTGTGCCTGGGGCTTAGCATGTCATTTAAGTAAGAACAAATTCCTGTTCTGTGACAGGAAAACAGTATTTTAGTTAAAAATATATGTTGCTTTATATTTTTCTGAGTACCTAATGGTATCCTTGTTTATGTCTCCTAAAGAAAGAATATTTTGTGTAGGCTTGAGCACTTTTTGAAAAACTGTTATTACAGTATAAGTAGATGCAGCACAAGTTTTAAGAAGGTAAACCTTTTCAGGAAATATTTATGAAAAATGTTTTGATATGATAGCATGTTGTTAATCTTGGCCTTTCACTAAAGCAAAAGTCACCATCTGAGTTTTTCTTGGTTGCACCTTGAAATTTTACTAGAGATTATAACATTTTGCTAGTTCAGTATACATTCTGCCTTCTAAACATTGTGGTACTAAGTATGTGATAAACAGCTGATAAAGTGTACCTAGAGTCTGAGTCTTGGATTTAAGTAGAAATTTAAGTCTGTCACGTAAAAACATGTTATTCTTTGTAGTAAAACACAATTAGAAAGTATATTGGGTGACATTTGAGCTTGAAGAATGAAAGATGTAATAAAACATGTTGGCCAGCACGGTGGCTCACATTTACAATCCTAGCATTCTGGCAGGCCAAGGTAGGTGGATTGCCTGAGCTCACTGGTTCAGGACCAGCCTGAGCCAGAGTGAAATCCCAGCTACTTGGGAGACTGAGGTAAAAGAATCACTGGAGCCCAAGGGTTTGAGGTTGCTGTGAGCTATGATGTCATGTCAAGACACTCACACTCTTCTAAGGATGACCAGGTAAGACTCTGTCTCAAAAAATAAAAGGCATATGTTGCTATTGCCTGTCAACAGCAATGAAATACCTGCAAATTTGTGTCACTGGAAACATTAGATCTTGGAGAAAAACAATTTTATAGTTATTGTGGTGTATTAATCTTACAATGCTGGCTTTATATTGATATATTGGCTTGAATAAAATTGATACATTTTGGCCATAAAGGATTTAAGAGGTTTAACATACACTAGTGCTTTTCTGGAATAGTATATCTTTATTCTTTGGTTTTTTGTTTTTTTTTTTAAAAGACAGACTAAAAGTACCACAAAGGCAATTTTTGATTTTTTTTTTTAAATAAAAAAATGCTTAGTTTTTTTCCTTAGATTACACAGAGAAGTTTCCTTAACTACTGTTTGTTCTAGAAACTGGAACAACTCAATCAATATCCAGATTTTAACAACTACTTGATTTTTGTTCTAACAAAGTTAAAATCTGAAGGTAAGTAGAGTTTGTGTTCAACTTGTTAAAAGTACTTTTATGACCTATTAAAATATACTAGGAATTATTCATTTCAAAGGATTTCATTTTGTTGTAAACGGTGCTTTATGGATGGGGAATGAGCGATTATTAGTGTAATCGTTTTCATGCTTATTATGGATTCAGTTAATTGAGTGTTTATGTAATAAATTCTTTCATTGTTTGCAAATAAAAACATGTGAAAAGTCTTTGTTTTGGTTTAGTGCTTATAGACATGAATATAATATTGATTTTCTTTTAATACCCAGACCAAGTGCAAGACCTTATCTCTACAAAAAATAGAAAAATTAGCCAGCTGTGGCATGAGCCTGTAGTCCCAGCTCCTTGGGAGGCTGAGGCAAGAGGATCACTTGAGTTTGAGCTTGCATTGACCTATGATGATAATACTACACTCTATACCGGGGATAGAGGGAGACTCTGTCTTTCAAAAAAAAAAAAATTTAACTGAATATATATGTGATCATTGTAATAAAAAATGGAAAGGTCATATAACCAGAATGAAAGATCACTTGGCCCATCATCCAGAGATGGTTATGTCGAGCTCTTGAATTAAATCCTTTTGTTCTTTTTTATATAGTTACATATATACCATTTTTAGATTATTTAGCAAAAAGAAGGTATCATAAGTAAACTTTCATAACTAAAAAACTATTAACAGAATACATAAAACTGGCTCGGCACTTATAGCTCAACCGGCTAAGGCGCCAGCCACGTACACCTAAGGTGGCGGTTCGAATCCCCAGCCCGGACC